CCAATGAAAATAATATAAGAGATATTTTCAATAAAATATATGTTTAGTTGTTGAAATTGTTGAAAGTGTTTTTTGAAGCTGCCACATTTATTTTCTACCAATTTTTCACAAAATAGAATGTGAACAGATCCCCCAGGAGGAAATCATTTATTTTATGTATGTTTTGCGGAGAGTAACAATGCACAACTTTTTTTAAAAAAATGTCTTGAGCTCACTAAAAATCTTCAAAATATTTCTTGCACCAAAATTTCCTACATTCTATTCCAAATGCTTTAATAAAATCGAAAGAATATTATTTCTTCTCCCACAACTAGAAATAGTTGAAAGACAGAGTGGCTTACATTAGATAAAGAGCCTACATTTATGCTAAAACACTTTTACTCGTATCAGAAATTTTGGGGGAACTGGCTGAGATTATTAACAGAAAAAAAAAAACTCTTTATATGGTATGTCATAAGCCTGTATAAAAGTAAGGTTACAAATTAACAGAGTTGGAATAGACCTCATAGGTTAACTAGTCAAAGCCCCCGCCCAAGCAGGACACCCTACACCATTTCTGACAAATGGCAGTCTAGTTCTCTTCTTGAAAGCCTCCAGTGATGATGCTCACACAACTTCCGAAGGCAAGTTGTTCCATTGTTTGATTGTTCTCACTGTCAGAAAATTTCTCCTTATTTGCAGGTTAAATCTCCCCTTGTTCAGTTTCCATCCATTATTCCTTGTCTGGCCTTCAGGTGCTTTGGAAAATAGCTTGACCCCTTCCTCTCTGTGGCAGCCCCTTAAACATTGGAACACTGCTATCCTTTATCCCCCGATCCTTCTCTTCACTAGACTAGCCATGCCCAGTTCCTGTAACAGTTCTTCATATGTTTTAGTCTCCAGAGAAACTACTTTGTGTACCAAAAACATCACAAGAAACATCTTCATACTTTTGTTATTGTGAAAATGTTTTCCCCTCCATCGTACTGATCAGAAAGTACATATAATCCAATACTTCATCTAAAGATTGATCCAAGGTTTATATCTGAGAATGCACCTAATGAGAAAATCTATTATTTTCTATTTTAAGATCGACGTGAATGCAAATTTGTATACAAACGCAAATTTGTTTGTGACCAGAACTGGATACAGTTTTCTAAGTGTGGTTTTACTAAAGCTTTGTAAAATGATGCTAGAACTTTATGCGATCCTGCTTCTATCCCTCTATTAATGTAATGCAGAACTGGCTGAAGGTGGTTTTGAAACAGGTGTAGGATTTACTGTCTGTTCAAAGGCATCCAACTTGGCATACCTTCAGTAAGTGCCTATTGGTCAACAATCAGGGGTCGATCTTGCCAAGGCTGGATGTGAAGATCTTTCCAAGGCTGGATGGCACATTAGTTGGCAGAGCTGCCAAGTATGGAAGATTTTTGGCATAGACTGAAGCCACCATACTTGCCAATGATTTTGTAGAAGGAGTAGAGGCACGTTTGTTTGTTTGTTTGTTTGTTTGTTTGTTTGTTTGTTTGTTTGTCAAATATGTACAAGAGAGCCGGTATAAGATTAGGGTTAGGTATCCCTTTATTAATGCTTTTTAGGATTGTATTGTGTTGTTGTTTTTTGCCTGGGAAAATTTCATTCCAATAAATTTCCCATATTATTAATCTTGATAACAGTTTAAAGTGGAAGGAGATTTGTGGGTAGAGAATGAATCGTTATGACCCAGTATGAAATTCGTTTTCTTCCAATACAGTTAAATATTCAGGATTCACAAACTCATTGTATATTTCAAAGAACCCTAACAAATCCAAACTAATATCCTTTAGCACTGTATTAAATATATATTCATAAAATGGTAGTCAGCTTCTTACTATATTTGTATAGTGCTTTAGGAATTGAAAGTGTAAAACGCAGGAAAATATCTCTGCAAATATTGGACATCATTTGAATCAATATCTGAAATATCCTAATAGCAAATAAGAAAACTAGATCAAAGTCAAGTTCAACAAGAGTGTTGAAAGGGAGAATGGATTAGGTTAAAGAATCTTGGACAATGATGGAAATGCAGAAACATGAGCACTTACTGTGGAATGAGCTTAAATATGAATTAATCTTAAATACCCTACATAAATCCTTCCTTGACAGAAAAACAAAACAAACTATGTTTCCTTAGGTTTTATATATAGTTCCTGTAGACAGTAAACAATTTTTCTATTCTTTTTCTCAGCAATTTTACCTAGAAAGAAAGATCACATGGTTTACTAATTTCTCTTTGTCAGTTGTTCCCTGTGGTTGAGGTCAGGGCACAAAACAATGATGTAGCACTTTGGCAGGAATATGCATCCCAGTTATGCAGCGCTGGTGGCTGCCATGGTTTTGCCTTTTGTGCTCAGATAGGATGGAAAGAAGGAGATCCACACACTGAAAAAGGCCAACATGCTGAAGGTGATGAAATTGGCTTCATTAAAGCTGTCAAGCAATTTACGGGCAAGGAAAGCTACCATAAAGTTGGCGATGGCCAAGATACCCATGTAGCCCAAGACACAGTAGAAGAAAAAAACTGAACCCTCATTGCTCTGTAAAATCATTTCATGCATCTCTGAGTGCATGTCCAACTCAGGGAATTGGGTAGATATTGACAACCATAGAATACAAATCCATACTTGTAATAGAGAGCATGAAAGGACAATCGAAAAGGCCAACCTTTTCCCCACCCATTTTCTCATCTGAGATCCTGGTTTAGTGGCCATGAAAGCAACAACCACGGTGATGGTTTTGGCCAGTACACTAGAAATGGCCACTGAGGAAGTGATGCCAAACATTGATTGTCGGAGAAGGCAGGTCACTTTGCCAGGTTGGCTGAGGAAGAAGAAAGAAGAGAGAAAACAGAGCAGAAGAGATACAAGGAACATGTAAGTGAGGGACCGGTTATTAGCTTTGACAATGGGAGTGTCCCGATGCTTAATAAAAGTTCCAAGTACACAAGAAGTCAAGAAGAAGAAACAAAAAGCTGCTGAGGCTAAACCAATTATTTATTTATTTATTTATTTATTTATTTATTTATTTATTTATTTATTTAGCAGAGTGATGGCGTTCAGGAAAAAACTTCTTGTGTCTAGTTGTTCTGGTGTGCAGTAGGGTAGAAATTGAAACAATTTTTGTCCAGGATGTGAGGAGTCTGTGGATATTTTCACAGCCCTCTTTTTTACTCGTGCGGTATACAGGTCCTCAATGGAAAGCATTTTGGGAGCAATTGTTTTTTCTACTGTTCTAATTATCCTCTGAAGTCTGTGTCTTGTCTATGTTTTGTGAGGAGAGAGAATGTCAAACCTTTCTAAAATTATCTTTCCCTCAGAAAATGTTCAAATAGAACTTCTTGATCTGAAATCCCTTCATTGATGTGCAAAGTACTTTTAGTCATATAAAGGATTTTTGAAAATCTGGGTAAGATTAGCTAGAGGAAAAAATCTTACTTTGGTATGTCATAAGGTTTCCTAGAAGGATTTTCAATAAATTTAATTTCAAAAAGGTGGTAATTGAAGTGAGATGCCATGCCACCAATGATGAAGTCTCTAGGCTGGTACCACTCATGAGGAACAAGGAAAGCATCACTTGCAGGGCATTCCAGAGTAACAACTTTGTGTACCAAAAACATCACAAGAAACATCTTCATGCTTTTGTTATTGTGAAAAGTTTTCCCCTCCATCCTACCGATTGGGAAGTACCTATAATCCAATGCTTCATTTAATTTTTCAAAAAATAAAATATGAACAGATCCAATAGGTATCAGTCATTTATAGTATGTATTTTTTTTCAAGGAGTAACAATGCAGAACTTTTTAAAAAAATACCTTAAGCTCACTAAAAATCTTCAAAAGATTTCTTGTACCAAAGCTTCATACATTCTATTGCAAACAGTTTAACATAACTTAAAGCAGAGGTCCCCAATTACTGGCCATGCCAGAAACCAAGCCATGCAAACAAGAGATGCCCTATCCGAAGGATGCAGGCAGCACACGAAACCAAATTCCCCCAGTCTGCAGGAAAACCTTTTTCCCCCAGTTAGTTTCATGTTTATGATATTTCCTTCAATCAGATAGTGATGCACAGTTGTTCAAGAGTTTTGGGCTGAATTTCATATTTGATTTTCTTGACTAATGCCAGATTCTTTAAGATGGTCATTAGTCAGTATACATTTTGAGTAAAGGGTGAGACAGAAGGAAGAATACAAAGAACATAAAATAATAGAGTTGGAAAGGAACTTGGAGGTCTTCTGGTCCACACACCCCTCCCCACTGAGCAGGAGATCCTATACCATTTTTAAAAAAAAAAAAAATTGTGTACCGCCCTTCTCCCTGAGGACTCAGGGCAGTGAACAGCCAAGTAAAAACATAAACTACAAACATTAAAATACAATTAAAAAGATATATATAAATTTGGCCCCATGATTAAAAACAATAACAGACAATTAAAAACATTTTAAAAAGTGTTAGGCCAGCCCGGCTTGCTGGAAAAAGAAGGTTTTAAGGGCACGGCGGAAGGCACCAAGGTCTTGTATTCTCCTTATCTCTGGGGGCAGCTGATTCCAGAGGGTAGGTGCCCCCACAGAGAAGGCCCTCCCCCTGGGGGTCACCAGCCTACATTGTTTGGCTGATGGCATCCCGAGGAGGCCCTCTCTGTGGGAGCGCACAAGTCGATGGGAGGCCGTCGGTAGCAGCAGGCGGTCTCGAAGATAACTAGGTCCTATGCCATGGAGCGCTTTAAAGGTGATAACCAACACCGTGAAGCGCATCCAGAAGACCACTGGGAGCCAGTGCAGCTCACTCAGGAGAGGTATTGCATGGGAGCGCCATGCGGCTCCCGTGACTACCCGCGCGGCCGCATTCTGGACCAGTTGGAGCGTTCAGGTGCTCTTCAAGGGGAGCCTCATGTAGAGAGCATTGCAGTAGTCCAGGCGAGAGGTGTCGGACAGCGAGGAGGCTGAAGAGGATGTGGTGCCAGAGGCAGAGACTCAGCCAGGCCTTTCAGAACCTCCAGAATCTCCTTCAAGTGGAGAGAGCGAAGTGGAGGAGCCTCTCCTCAATGCTCAAGCGCGCACGGCTGCCAAAAGGCAGGAGTGGCTACTCAGGAGGAGGAGGTCTCCTCGAGAGTAAGGCTTGAGGATAATTGGCCACTCCCTTAGCCTATTTAAGTCACACGGCCTTAGTAAGTTTCTTGCTAGAAACAACTTGTATTATTATCGGAGTATTTTGGTTTATCATATCTTGTTTTCTGGGCTCGTTGCCAACCTTTGCCGGTCTTGTTTATTCTTGCTACTTAATAAATTTGATAAGGACCATTGGTGTGTATCAATATCCTTGGAAATCTGGAGCTGGGGCAGAACACCTTGACAGAAAAACAAAACCAAACTATGTTCCTACATTCCTGTAGACAGTAAACAATTTTTTTATTCTTTTTTTCAGCAATTTTACCTAGAAAGAAAGATCACATGATGTACTAATTTCTCTTTGTGAGATTTCCCCTGTGGTTGAAGTCAGGCCGCAAAACAATGATGTAGCATTTGGGCAGGAATATGCATCCCAGTAACACAGCACCAGAGGACAAGATGGAGAAGACCTCCACAGCTACCATGGCTTTGCCTTTTGTGCTCAGATAAGCTGGAAAGAAGGAGATCCACACGCTGCAAAAGGCCAACATGCTGAAGGTGATGAACTTGGCTTCATTAAAGGTGTTGGGTAATTTACGGGCAAGAAAAGCCACAATAAAGCTGGCAATGGCCAAGATACCCATGTAGCCCAAGACACAGTAGAAGAAATAAACTGAACCCTCATTACACTGTAAAATCATTTCTTGGAGCTCTGATTTCATGTCCAACTCAGGGAATGGGGGAGATGTTGACAACCAAAGTATACAAATCCATATTTGCAAGAAAGAGCAAGAAAAGACAATAGAAAAGGCCAATCTTTTCCCCACCCATCTCCTCATCTGAGATCCAGGTTTCGTGGCCATGAAAGCCACAACCACGGTGATGGTTTTGGCCAGTACACTAGAAATGGCCACTGAGAAAGTGATGCCAAACATTGATTGTCGAAGAAGGCAGATTACTTGGCCAGGCCAGCTAAGGAAGAAGAAAGAGGACAGAAAACAGAGCAGAAGAGAGACCAGGAGGGTGTAGGTGAGGGACCGGTTGTTAGCTTTGACAATGGGAGTATCCCTGTGCTTAAAAAAAGTTCCAAGAACCCAAGATGTCAGAAAGAAAAAACCAAGAGCTGCTGAGGCTAAACCAATTCCTAGTGGTTCTTCAAATTTTAGAAACACCACCGGTTTCAAGATACAGCCTTTCTTTTCTTTATTTGGATAATGATCTTCTGAACATTGAAAACAGTCATCCATATCTAGAAGGAAAATCAAGGAATTTGTCATCTAGGCCTTCCAAATTATTGAAAATCACTTTATGTTTATGCACCCATGTAGTTTAAAGTTTGCTTAAGTCTAATGAAATGTGGTAAAATTTGTACCTTACCATTTTGATCTGAAATCTTCCCTTCAGGGCATGGAACACAGTCAAAGCAGCAGAACTGATTTCCCTCAATCCCTTTCTTCCAGGATCCAGCAAAACAAGGATCATTACATCGAGAAAGTGGAAGAACCTGGTGATAAACATGAAAAGAGCCTTGTTGGCACAGCAGACTAAAGTGCTATTAAATAGCACCAGCTGCCTGCAAATGAGCATCTCTGCATTTGCGGAGCGGCAGAGGTAGAAAACCAGGCTCACATCCTATTTGACTGTTGCTTGTATAAGGGGGTGAGAGACAGGTACCTGGGTCCATATACCAAAGGAATGACCCATTGGGATCCCCAAATCAAAACAACTTACTTTATGTGCGGCCAGAACCTGAAGATCACCTTAACATAGCACAGTACTTAAACAAAATGGTTTGGTTGAGATCTGCATACGTGGGACTGATTGGGGTAGATTGGAAGGGTGACACCAAAATATAATTTTATGTCATCTTATGCTATTTTATATATTTATATATTAAATTATATTGTATCTCAGTCTATAGCTATTGTATTTTACCCTATTCTTATTTTAAGTTGTTTGTATGAGATATTATTGGCAATATGTGTTTGCACCTTGTGATTCGATATGACCTATAGGCTAATCAAAGCTACCATTTTAAACTGTACTTTATTCCAATTTCATTTTAAATCATATTTTATTCCAATTTCACTTTAAATTGTATTTTATCCAATTCCATTTTAAATTGTTTTTATCAGATTTTAGTAATAATTTGTTTCTGGAACTCTGCAATTTGATATGGCCCAAAGGCTAATCAATAAAGTAAACTCTGAACTCTGAACATTGTAATGTCATATTTGTCAGTTTGAGAAATCCTTGATGATCCACAACATTTGAAAGAACATGCCATTGTTTATTTTAAAAAAAAAACAGAAATTAGATTTCTAAAGAAACTGTGTTCAATATGGGATCAAAATGGATTAAGGCATGGTGGAGTCACTAATTCGATACCTGGTTAAAAGCTGGACTCCAGACAATCACATCATCATCAATCCACAGTTCCTTCCCCTTTGGAGCCTGGAGATCCATCTTTCCAACTCTAACTCTCTGAAAGGATCTATTTGGAAAAGTGATCAAGGTGGTGATGTCGAATCCACCAGTTGCTTCCCCTTTCTCATTCAGGGACACTCCCTCCCCAGCTGAATTGTTGAAAGAAATGCCATGAAGAAATGAATGGAGCTACATAAAAAAGAATAAAAATCAGAAAGAGTTGAAAGCATCATGATAGAGAGGAGACCATTAGATCCAAGTTTCATTCATTCATTTTTTTTCAGTTCCTATAATAAATACTAAATATGTACAGTTATAACAGAAATAAGATTTTCTGTATTTATTCTATGCAGAACAGAATAACAGATTTAGAAGGGATTTTGGACGTCTTCTAGTGCAACTCCCTGCTGACAGAGGAGACCCTGTACCGTTTCAGACAAATGGTTGTCCAATCTCATCATAAAAATTTCCAATGATGAAACACTCATAACTTCTGAATGCAAGCTGTGCAACAAATTAATTTTTCTCACAATTTTGAGGTTCTGTCTTGTGCTTAACTTGATTCCACACATAGAAAATATTAAAACATTTTCCACAATGCATTCAAACACAACTCTGCATCAAATTGCTCATTGCAATAAAACTGTCCAATTCAGAGAAAATACCTGCCAAGCCTGGATATCTGGATTTTCAGGTTTTTTACTCATTACATTTTTTTTCTTATTGTAAGTCAGCATGAGTAATGCTTGCAAAGCATGAGCCACAGCATAAACACCATTGTAGATACCATAGCTTTGGCCAGTCATTTCCATTTCAAAGACAGGCGTGGGAAGATCCTCCAGCTTCTGCCCAGTGCATTTCTTACTGTGCATATCTTGTAACTCTGATTTTGGAAATGAACAATCAAATGATTGTTCCCAAAATTCATGCAGAAACCCATTTCTGTAGACTGAAAGAGGATTTACGGTCTGAAGAAATTCCTTGAAACCCACAACTGCTATTGAATGAACATTGAAGGAAATAGCCCCATGGAACATCTGGAGATCCCACGTGATTTGAAATCCTGTTAATATGAAATCAATCTGTGCACTCATGATCCACACCTTTCTAAATAATGCAGTTTCCTTGCTTTCAGGATCTACCAGAACTAGGACAAACCTTAGCCACATAATTGCCCAGGATTCTCCATAGACAAGAAATGCATTGGATTTGCTTTTCATCATATTGATGGAAATAATTGAGATTCTTTTATATACTTCTGGAAAGTCTTCCAAGTGGACCAGTTGTGCAAGCCTTTCTATGAACGATGAACAGATGCCGTTCTCTGAAAGCAAGGGCTGCATTTTCTGTAAGAAATGTTCTCCATTGTTGTTATCAGCAGCAAAAATCCCAATCCATGTCCACTTGAAATGATGAAGCAGTTGGATGATCCCAATGTACTGATGGTCTTCTTTTGGGACCATGAAATAAAGTGAAGGGAATTTACTACTCTGAAATTCCTCTTGGGCTAATGAGCCATATGTCAGCTTCAAGAAAGTGGAATAGGATTCTGTTCAATTATTTATTTATTTATTTATTTATTTATTTATTTATTATTAAATTTATAGGACTCAGGGCGGTGTACAGTCAAAGTAAAAAACATAAATACAAACATTAAAAACAATTTAAATATATATATATATATATATATATATATATATATATATATATATATGTTAAAAACAATAACAAAACTTATTAAAAAACATTTTAAAAAGTGTTAAGCCAGCCTGGCTTGCTGAAAAAGAAAGGTCTTCAGGGCACGGCGGAAGGCACTGGGGTCTTGAATTCTTCGTATCTCTGGGGGCAGTTGATTCCAGAGGGCAGGTGCTCCCACAGAGAAGGCCCTCCCCCTGGGGGCCACCAGTCTACATTGCTTGGCCGATGGCACCCTGAGGAGGCCCTCTCTGTTGGTGGGAGGCCGTTGGTGGCAGCAGACGGTCTCAAAGATATTCAGGTGTGGATATACCTATACCATGGAGTGCTTTAAAGGTGATAACCAACACCTTGAAGCGCACCCGGAAGACCACTGGGAGCCAGTGCAGCTCACGCAGGAGAGGTCACACTCCAAGGACAGCTGTGTATCCAGGAGGACGCCCAAATTGCGAGCCCTCTCCATGGGGGCCAACGACTCGCCCCCAATAGTCAGTGATGGAGTCAACTGACTATATCGGGATGCCAGGAACCACAGCCACTCAGTCTTGGATGGGTTGAGCCTGAGCCTGTTCCTTCCCATCCAGATCCGCACAGCCTCCAGGCACCAAGACATCACTTCAAGGGCATCATTGGGGTGGCCCTTCAATTGAATGTAATTTTTCTACTCTAGTTTTCTTATATATCCAACATTTTTTCCTAGAATTCTTCTAAAAATTAACATAGAAAGGAATTTCTTGGAATTACTTCAATCACATATAAGAGATCAGTTGTTTTAATAGAAGCAATTCAAATATTCTGTCAGCTATAGAATGACCCCCTCATACTCATTTCTTGCAACTGGCATTGTAGTTTCAGAAAAGAATGCTAAGTAGGAGACCTTAGGTCATGCAGAACATCTTAGTACAAACCTAAGATTAATCTTTGATGCCCATTAATTATTCCATAACAACAATAATGTTAAGAATTTTCTTCTCAACCACTTCAGAACTTACTTGTGGAATCTTAAACAATCCTGTAATTTCAGCAATACGAGATGATGTGTCAAAATCCAATCCTCCAATGATGGCCATGAGATTCTTCTGGCTATCATATTTGTAGTTAGGGACAAATTCCTGGGATTTGAAAAGCATGTCCAGAGTCGTGCGATAGGTCATCCTCGCATGTACATAACTGTCATAGATGTGGAACCCAAGAGTGATGTTAGGTAAGATCTGGGAGTCCTCATTGATCTTCTTCACAGCAAAGGCCAAGGCAAGGACATGTTGATGAAATTTGGTGAATATACTACAATGAATTTAAATACCCCAGTTAAAAAAGTAAGTTGACCATTCTCATAAGGTGGCATCATTTCTGTATAAAGAGCAAACATTTTTTCTGTGACGGTAATAGAAAGAAAACAGCCTTTCTAAAATTCTTAATTTCTACGGAGCGGTCATTGGTGCTGTCTGAGTTTGGTTGCTTTCTTGCAGATGTTTCATTCCCCAAACTAGGTAATATCATCACTGTCCAGCACTGATGATGTTATCTTGTTTGGATAATTAAATGTCTGCAAGAAAACAATCAATGTCAGAGAGCAGCAAGAATCCCTCATTTCAACCCTGAACTAAAATATTCTCCTTTATTGATAATTTCACTTTTCTTTTCATACAGTATGCTATGACTTGCAACAGAACAGAACAGAACAGAACAGAATTGAATAGAATAGAATTTTTTATTATCCAAGTGTGATTGGACACACAAGGAATTTGTCTTGATGCATACGCTCTCAGTGTATACAAAAGAAAAGATATGATCATCAAGAATCATAAGGTACATCAGGACTGGCAGAGTTATTACAAAGCCTCAGCGTTAATATGGATAAAAGATTGGATCGAAATCAAAAACATAAGAACATTAATATTGGAAGGTTTTGACTTAACAAGGGGATGGCATGCATATCTTTGGGGAGAGAAAATTACAAAACAAGAACAATTTCGCAGACATATTGCAAGAAACAATTTGCTTAAAATATGGAATGAAATCAGAAAATATCACTATGATAGGATTCCTAGGTGGACTTCCATAATGGAAGCACATATTTATCCAAATACAATAGATACAAATAAATTAAAAACATATAAGGACATCTTAAAAGAAGAAGGAAAACTAAAAACAAGAGAAGAATTGAGAATGCAAAATGTGGAAATAGAGTGGTGGTCATATTTGCAATTAAAATCCAGATATAAATCTGATATGGAAAAAACTGGAATTCAAATGGAACCAAATCAGTTGGATAAAATTTTATTAGGCCCCAATGAGAAATTAATAACCAAAATTTATAATTTTCTATTGGAATATAAACTAGCAGAGGAAGTAGTTAAAGAGAATATGATCACATGGGCGACAAATTTTGGGTATGCAATAGAATTAAATAAGTGGGAAAAATTGTGGAAAAGTATTAATAAATTAACATTATCTGTACCATACAAAGAAAATGCTTATAAATTGTTCTATACGTGGCATCTACCACCGGCGCGAATTTCTAAAATGTTTCCCAGTACATCTCCACTTGTTGGAAATGTAAAGCGCATAAAGGGACATACTATCATATATGGTGGTCATGTCCGAAAGCTAAAAAATTCTGGAACAATATAAAAATGCAACTGGAACAAATAATAACTCAAAAGGTACCATTAAAACCAGAAGCTTACTTATTAGGAATACCTACAAGCAAATATGAAAAAGAAATAATATATTTAATAACACACATTTTGACTGCAGCAAGAATTATATACGCACAAAATTGGAAACAAGAAGAGGTCCCGACTCAAGAGAAATTAATATCCAAAATTATGGAATGCACTGAGATGGATAGACTCACCAAGGAGATCCAAGGAAAGGAAGAATCTGAATATTATCTGGTCTGACAAAAGTGGTATAAATAGTTAGAGGGAAGTGAAAAAAAAGAGAAGAAGAAAGAAAGAAAAATTAAATAAAAGAAAAGATATGAATAGAGTAAAATAATTTTTACTTCAAATGAAATTTAAGAAAGAGACACCAGATATCAATAAAATAATATCATTATATAAGGTGAGAGAAATAATGTATATTGAAGAATATAGGATATTGATATTGTAACAATTCAGTTATTATAGGTAGATGTCATTAAGATGATGCTTGTTGTAAATTGTTTTACTTGCATTTATAAATGTATTATGTGGTTTCTTAAATTAATTAATAAAAGTTTTTAAAAAAAGAATCATAAGGTACAACACTTACTGATAGTCATAGGGTATAAATAAGCAATCAAATCATATTAGGAAACAGTCAATATAAATCGTAAGATTACAACCAACAAACAATCAAACAGTCATAAGTGGAAGGAGATGGGTGATGGGAACGATGAGAAGATTCGTAGTAGTGCAGACTTAGTAAATAGTTTGATAGTGTTGAGGGAATTATTTGTTTAGCAGAGTGATGGCA